AGACCAAGAAGAGAGAAGATACATTTGAACAGGAAGAGGATTAGATATATTAGGTAGTGAGATATAGTTATATCATTGTGTACCATATACTGTTACTTCTTACAGCGAGATGGTAAGGTGCTGGCACAGCATTTATCACAGAACCAAATGTAAAAAGTTCTTAAATCTACGAACATTTGATTTATGACAAAGCCAACACAAAAACTCATAGGGACAGAAGATGTTCTCTTTGATAAGGTGTGTTGACTGGATAATTTATATGAAAGAAATCAGTTTAACCCATTTCACACCATTCCAGGTCTATCAAAGCCTTCCATGTAAAAGGCAAGACAAAAAATTTCTTAGAAGACAATCTAAGAGAATATCTTCTTCATCGTGGAACACATAAAATTTCCTTTAATGAGACACAGAAAATATTGAATAGGAACCAAGAGATTGATAAGTAGATTAAAATATAAAACTATGCTTATCAAAAGTCATCTTTTAGGGACTGGCAAGATGGCAGATTAAGGTGCTTGCTGCCAAGCCTGATGACCTGAGTTCAATCCCTGAGACTCACATGGTGGAAGGAGAACCCACTCCTACAAGTTGTCCTCTGACTTTGACACATATGTACTGTGGTAAGGACATGCCCATACATACATGCACAAAAATAAATAGTGTAATAAAAAATTTATTTACCTTTTAGGAATTGGAAAAAGAAAGTCTAAGAGTAGGCAGTTACAGACAGTTCATAGCACTGCTAAGTGGCCTCTAGAATGTATGAGAAACTTAAATGAATGAAAGAAATGGGTAAAAAATGAACAGCTTATAAAAGAAGATTTCCTAGTGGCTAATGGACATACAAAGGATGCTCAGCCTCTTTAGAAATCAGGAAATGAAAATAAAACTACTGTTATAGTTTGCCTTCAATTGCTCTGACCAATACCAACTTGGGGAGGAAAGGGTTTATTTGGCTTATATCTCCTGGGCCACAGTTCGTCAGGGAGCCCAAGGTAGGAACTCAGGACAGGAACCTGGAGGCTGGAGCACAGGCCATGGAGGAATGCTGCTTACTGGCTTGAACTTCTGGCCCCTGCTCAACCTGCTCAACCTGCCCAGGGATGGCACCACCCACAGTGGGTTGGGCCCTCCGATTCACTCAGTAATCAAGAGGATGCACCACAGACATGGTCACAGGCCAGTCCAATGGAAGTAATTCCCCAATTGAGGCTCCCTCGACCCAGGTGTGTCAAGTTGACATTAAAGCTATCCAGCACAACTACAGCACATCAGCATTGCGCATATACAAAATGATTTAAACTAAGGAGACTGACAGCGTCAAGTTTGGCAAGGAAAAAACAACTGGAATTCTCAGAAAGCTAGTAGGGTACCCAAGATACAGTCATGAACTCACAGGGCATCATGGGGTATTTTAAAATTACAAGTGTGAACATGGTAATATCACAAAAGTTTTGGGTTGTGGTTACCACCTAAACTACAGTGCTTGAGGCAATTCATAGTTAGATCGTGCTGTGTGCCCTGTAATGATGTAATTCATTGTAAAACTGGCTTCTCAGTGGTTGCTCTGATAAAAATCAACTACAGTTGAAAAATCAAAGTAGTACAGGAGATGAAATGCCCGCACTGGTTCTGTTGTGCGGTGTCAAACTGGTACACATGTCCCACTAGTAAACGTGTAAACATCCCACTAGTAAAATAGTAGCAATACTACTATTGCTGTGTATAGCCAAAATTCATTTAGCTTGACCACATTGTTTCCCCGTTATCGTTCCTTCCTTCTTCTCTCTGAGGGCCCAAGATAAATTTCTTTCTCGATAAAGAAGACCCTTGGTATTTCTTTTGGAAGTTGTCGACAACCGTTCATAATTTGTATCTACCTGAAAATGTTTCTCTTTGAACTTCATTGTTGAAGAGAATTTTCCATGTTGGAGAATATCATTTCTACAGACAGCTTTTTTGTTTGTTTGGCTTGGGTTTTTTCCCTCCAAGATTTAAATATCATTTCCATTTCTTTGTCCTTTGTTTATGTTTAGAAGTCAACAATATTTTTGGTTTGTCTCCTGGAGCCCCTTCACCTTCTAGGTCTTCTCTAACACAATGTTCTTGCCTTTGCTTCCAATGGTTTTATAGTTATCTACTTAGGTATGGCTTTTTAACAAGTCTGACCTGAGCTCTCAGGCCTCCTCCGTCTTTGTCTTTGTGCTGCCGTCAACTATAAAACCCCCTCTGCCGTTACTCTGTCTGCAGAGCCCCATTTTCTCCTTCTGGGCCACCGAATACACCTATTTTTGGCCTTTCAATATATTTAGCTGTCCATTTTAATTTCCCTTCTGAATCTTCTGTCATTTCAACCAGTCGTCTCAGTTATGAATATTCTTCGAACACGTATCTATTCCAATAACTTCAGTGGTGGTTACTCTGCTATTAAACACATGCATTGAATTCCCAGTTTCAGTTGTTATCATTTTAAGGTGTAGAATTTATTTTTTATTATTTCCAGTCCTCTGCCCAAATTCCAAATCTTGCATTTCATTTTCTTATAGAGAGTGTGAATCATGCCCCTGTCTACTGCCTCTTGCTTCTGCTGACTTTCATTTTTAGCACCCTAGTTCCTCATACTTATGGCCAATTTACTTATTTATTTACTTATTTTATTTATTTATTTATTTATTTATTGATTGATTGATTGATTGATTGATTGGTTGGTTGGTTGTGTGTGTGTCACAGCCTTTGCGTAGGGGTCAGAGGACATCTGGGATTAAAGGCGTGCGCCACCATGCCTGGCATTACGGCCAGTTTATAATCTGCAGGTTTTTTTGAAGTTTATGAAATATTTTTGGTAATTGTGAAATTTCATAGTTAGGAGTTTCCAGAAATGATCTGAGCCTTGTTGGGGCATTCTCTTCTGTTGTCTTGTGTCAGACCTCCATGAGCACCAGCATACCCGAATCTCCCCCTTCATTCAAGGACTGAGAGACTAGTCCATTCTTACTCTCTGGAGTATCATTCACAGGTCAGAGAAGGAAATCCCAAGTCCCCAGGTCCCCAAGTCCTACCCTTGACAAGCTTTGGAATTCCATCTCCCCAGCCTTGCTTCATATTCAAGAATTCTGCACAGCTCCCAGGTGCCCACTCTAAGGCATGGAGGGTAAAGTAGCCCAATTTTTCTCTATTCTCTCCACTTTCCACCCTGACTTGCCTGTTTTCTCCTGGAGCATGAGCAGCAATTCCTTCCTTACTAATACTTAATTAAGTCTCCAGTGCTTCCAAGCAGAGACGTGTTGATAATCATAAGGTAGCTGGGTCCAGTGACCTCATTTGCCACATTTACAATTGGAAGCCTAGAGTTAGTGACTCTATTAGCCTATTTTCTTTTTTAACTGAGGACTATATTTTTATTTACTTTGTGTGTGTGTACATGAATGTTCAGTTGAGTGTGCATATGTGCACACGATAGAGTGGAGGCCAGCGTGTTACCTCACAGGGGTCTTGATTGGGTTCCTTTTCATCACCAATTAAGAATTGAAAGACAGGAAAAATTTCAGACACAACAGGTAACAAACTCTATTGTAAAGAAACACACATTCACACACACACTCACCCAGAGAGAAAACTCTCCACAAGTGGAGAGGGGATTCAGAAACCAAAACAATCTCAAACCCCTGTGGGGCCCCAGGTCTTTTAAATATTCTTGGTGGTAATGGCAAATCCCCCTCCCCCAACTGTGGATTGGTCAACTTCAACAAAGAAGAGAGAGCAGATAGGCCACAGTTCCAAGATGACATATGTCCAGGGCTACATGACTCTGAGCCCATCTTGTAGGTCCCTTGAGAGGGTCTTGTTGGAGTAAAGAGTAAAGTCTTTATACAGGAATTAAAAATTAGCCAGGTGTAATGATTCATGCCTTTAATTCCAGCACTTGGGAGGCAGAGACAGTTGGTTCTTTGTGAGATTGAGGTCAGTCTGGTCTACATAGCAAATACCAGGCCAGCTGGGGCTATAGAGTAACTCTGTCTGAAGAAGACCAAGAAGACGATGAAGAAGAAGGTGAGGAGGAGGAGGAAAAGGAGAGGGAGAGGAAGAGGAAGGAGGAGAGGAAGAGGAGGAGGAGGAGGAAGAGGAGGAGGAGGAAGAGGAGGAGGAGGAGGAGGAGGAGGAGGAGGAGGAGGAGGAGGAGGAGGAGGAGGAGGAGGAGGAGGAGGAGGAGGAGGAGGAGGAGGAGGAGGAGGAGGAGGAGGAGGAGGAGGAGGAGGAGGAGGAGGAGGAGGAGGAGGAGGAGAAAGCCTTCAGTAGTTAAGAGCACTGGCACTGGCTGCTCTTGCAGAGGACCCAGATTTGGTTCCCAACACCTACATGGCTGTTAACAATCATCTGTGACTCCATTTCCAGGGTATCCGATGCCATCTTCTGACAACTGTGGTCATTGCATGATATGGGTTCATTTACATAAATGTGGACAAAATACTCAAATGTATAAAAATAAGTGGATAATTTTTAAAATAAAGCTTGCCAAGTTTTCATCCAGCACCCTTCCTTTGGGGCCTTTTTTCTCAAGAAATCAACCTCAGGTGTCGTTTCTGAGGAGCCATCCATCTTGTTTTTGGAGGGTCTCTCATTGGAACCTGAAGCTTGCCAATTAGGCTGTGCTGGCTGGCCAGTGTGCCCCAGGGATCCATCTGTCTCTACCTCCCCAGTGTTGGAATTATAAGCATTCACGGCCATGCCAGGCTTCTTGTGTGGGTGCTGGGGACCAGAGCTTAGGTCCCCAGGCTTGTGCCTTAAGTGCTATACTGACTGAGCCATCTCCTCAGCTTCTAAATTGTCCTCCTTCTTTTGTATTAAGTTGATGAAAATAATTATAACTATTAGATTATATGGTCACCTGCCCTTTTTAATGACTCCCATGCTCTTTGTTATAATAGCTAGATCTCTGTCTTACCTTCCTTAGTCATCTTTGCCACTGTGATGCCATGAATAACTTACTCTCTCAACTTCAGTTTTCAGGAGTTGACTTGGATCAAGCCTTATTCCAGCCCTTTCCATCTGAAATCATCTTCCAGAACTATGTTCCCTGTGAAGTCTATGAAGTTCCCTTGGTTCTGAGGAACAACGACAAAGTGAGTATGTTCACTGTTATGGGTGGACTTTCCCAGGATGTCTGAGAAGGAGTTCAGTAAACTGGCATCCCGTAGGATCTTCAAAAAGTTGTTTAATTTGATAGACTTGGGAAAACAGTATACAAACATGCCTTTTGGCTGTAAGTTTTAAAAAATACCTTATTTTTTATTTTATATGTATGAGTTTATTACCTACATATATGTAAGTGTACCCATGTCATGCAATGCCTGCAGAGGTCAGAAGAGGGCATCAGATCTCCTGGAACTGGAGTTACGGATGGTCGTTACCCTCGTTTGGGTGCTGGGAATTCAACCTGGGTCCTCAGCAAGAGCTCTTAACCACAGAGCCATCTCTCTAGCCAAGCTTTGCTTATATTATATGAACTTTGATCTTTAAAACATTTATGTTTCTTCTTATAAAAATACTGTTTGTTCCAACGTTCGATTTATTAGAGAAGTTGAGGGTTTTTTCTTTTAAATTCCACATTAGAAATGCGAGGGTTTGGGGTTTTGTTTGTTTATTTGTGTTGTTTTTTTTTCTTCTAGGATTTCTCAAATATCATATACCTTGAAAATGTTAATCACCATGGATAAAAAAATAAACGAATGTCCATTTACTAAGCTCTTGTGTTGTACATACCAAGCATAATGTTATACACGCTGCATACATTGCCTATTTTATTTCATCATAACAATGGAATGAGTAAGATGTCATTTTCATTCTTGCCTTTCAACGTGTCTCCTCCTGTGGAGCACATTATATCTCATCTGAATTACAGGCTTAAAAAGCTCATCAAATCACATAAAATAAAGGTGTAGGACAAACAAGAGTTCCTTGATAGAATTATTTGGCAAAATCAACATTGTAGAGGTCCATGAGAGAGAGATTTTAAAGAATTATCATTTATTATCAGTGTTCATGGACGTCGGCAAATTCAGACTCTGGAGACAATGGTATATTTCAGGTTTTTCCTTTTGTGCTGCAATGTTGTTAGCAAAAGAAGCTCGTGACACACAAGGACAAGCAAAAAGATGAAAAAGATTTGAAGGCACCCAGGGTCATTTACATAGATTTCAAGAAAAGGTACATTACACAAACATGAGGACTTCTCAGGCAGGAGTGGCAACAAATTTAGTTTCTCCTTTAGAACTGTCTCTTTCTTTACTATTTCATTACTCTTGCTTAGGTATTATTAGGCTAGTAAGGATGGAGAGGAGCCAGTCCAAAAGTCCTTTGGCAACTCCCCTCCAAACCTAAACAAGAAATGATTATCAGTAGGTGTACATGAGGAAGTCAGCAGTAAATGGGAAGTGTAAATTTCATCCATTGAAAGGCACAGTTGTCATGGATAACCCACCACCTCTTGGATGAGATGTAGCCAAAGCACTGGCCTGGTGGAAAGACGGTCCCCAGCCAGGGAAGGTACAGTCAGCCACAAGCAGACCCCTCTCTCCAGGGGAGGCAGGCTTGTTCATGAGTGAGTTATACCAGACCTTGCACTGAGAGGCTGATGTAAGCTTCCTTTCCTCACAGTCTTCTGTGGAACTGGCAAAGATGGGGCACAGACAGGCACACCCCATTCACCTTATCTTCTCCTCACTGGCATGAAGAGAAAAAATAAAACTCACAATGTGTTTGTGTAGGATCTATCTCTCACCTACACAACTGGAGAGAGTGATCCTTGAACACCGCAGACAGCATGATTCAATTTGGCACACAATTTTAAACACCCAGACTACAGTGTCAGACTAACCTGAGTTCAGATTCAAACTGTGTCACCTGGAGCTGGTGACACACTGTGGGGATAATGGTGGCACTCATTTTACTACAAGTGTTTTGAATATTAAATGAGATGGTGAGTGTATTCAGCTGAGCGCTTGTTGCATAAGTGGGCAAGAAGCCAGCATGGTGGTTGTGCTGTTAATATCTCCACTGGTTCCTTTCTTGGTTTGCTATGGCAGTTACACCCCCCCCTTTTTTTTTTTAACAATTTAAGTGTGTGTGTGTGTGTGTGTGTGTGTGTGTGTGTGTGTGTATGCAAGTGCCCAAAGAGACCAAAGATGTTAGATCTCCCTGGAGTTGAAGTTACAGGAAGCTGTGAGCAGCCCAGGTGGGTGCTGGGAACTGATCTCAGGTCCTTTGCAAGAGCAGCACATGCAGTTAACTGAGCTGTCTCTCCAGCCCCAGTTATGCTCTTAGTAAAGGAATCTTGCCCTATATCATTCAGCGCAGCACATGCCACTGCATGCTCTCCACCAGTACAGCCAGCCAGCTCTGTTCCTCTCAGGGATGTATGCATCTTCCCTGACTTCCCACTCTCTGGTCCGGAGCTCCATGACCATTCTTTCTGTGTTTCTTCCTTCCTTCCCCACCTGGAGTAGAGATGTGAGAGTTCTCTTCTCGATTTTCACTTGTGACCTCAGGTCATCCTTTAACTAGGTGAATTGGTTGTAGTTAACTTTCTTCTCATTTAAGTTACTTAAAAAAAATTCATAGCAGGCAAGGTTGCGCACACCTGTAATCCTAGCACTCAGGAGGTTGGGGCAGGAGCATCGTTGAGTTTGGGTGCAAACTTCCTATGAGCTGGGTTACATAGAAAGACCTTGCCTCAGAAAACAAAAAAGCAAAACAAAAAATTCTGTCCCCCTTTTCGGGCTGTGTGTCTGTAGGACTTTCACCCCAGACCACTCCCATCCACCTTATATTGTATTTCTTCTCGTTTTGGCTGAGAGAGACCTGCGTAACCCTGGGTAAGACAAAAGGGGACTAGGATAAGACCTTAAAAAAAAGAGTGAAACTAGTTGAAGCTGCCTGAGTCTGGTTAAGAGTTATCAGTGTGCCTTTTGTTCTTGCTCCTTGATGGCGCTTCCTTGGAGAAGGTGGGTGAAGTCACCTGCCTCCCAACACCCATTGATTGGTGAAGCAGTCCTTTCCTCCTGTGGCCTGGGAATCCCGATGATGCTCAGTGGCTATTGTGAGGGTGGGGTGGCCCATCATGTCCTGAAGATGGTCCCAAGAGTACAGAATTTCTTTCCCCCAAGCACTTTCAGAATGTTGGGACCTGCAGTTTAGCTCTGCTTATTGTGGGGGAGGATTCAGCTGATGGAGCAGTTTATTTAGAAGATAGTCACATTTAAATCATAAAATGAACAAAGACTTCAATAATGATGATGATGTTAGTAAAAATAAAATCACTGAGTCTTGAGGGCTGTGTGAGTGGGACAAAGGTAAGTCCTACCATTTCCCTTTACAGTTGAAGAAACTGAAATCCAGTCCTGACCAAGGTCACACGTTAGTAAGTAGCGCATGGAAACCTCACTCTAGGTTTGACTCAAATCATGTGCCCTTTTTTCTGTTCTTTTTGTTTGTTTGTTTTTGTTTTTCACTTGTGTGACAACCGTCATCATGTGTTTTCCCTGCAGATTCCAAGGATGGTGAAAGTTGTTGAGGAAAGTTCACCTTACTTCAAAGTTATCAGTCCCAAAGATACTGGCCACAAAGTAGCTCCAGGAGTTCCATCCGTGTTCCGAATCCTCTTCACACCAGAGGAGAACAAGGTGATAACCACATCAGCGAGAAATTGACTGAACCTGTGTCCCTAGGGGTTTGTAATTCAATGTTAAACACTCATGGAGGTGGTGTTGTTAGCGTGGGTGTTAATGGTATTGGTGATATTCCTGGATGGTGGTAAGGTGATGTTGATATTGGTAGTAGAACCAATGATGCCATTTTGTTGTTGATGATCGTGGCATAGTCTGTGTTGTTGTTGTTACTATAATGAAATACCAGAGGGCAGGCAGTTATAAAGAAGAAACTTCTATTTCTATCACAGTTTTAGAGGTTGAAACTCCAAACAAAACAGCTTCAACTCTGGCAAGTCCCCCTCCCCCAGGCCCCTTAACTGAGTCACCTCATGATGGCGGCATCTTGGTGGGAACGCATCTGAAAAGGATAATGAGAAAGGGAACCAGAGTTTGAGGAGAGGCCAGCCATGTCCTCCCATTAGGCTCCAACTCTTAAAGGTCTGCCACCTCCTAACATCACACACTAAAGACTCGACTCTAGCCATGAGCCCTGGAGGGCAAACCATAAGCCATCCATAGAGGTAGGGCTGGTACTGGCTCTGGCGGTATGGATGGCATTGTTGTTGTTTTTTGTTTTGTTTTTTTTTTTGACAGGGTCTCTGTAGTCCCAGCCCACCTGAAAGTCACTATGTGAATGAGGCTGGCCTCGATCTCACAGAGCTCTGCCTGCCTCTGCCTCCCGGAGGGCTGGGATTAAAGGTTTACACCACTATACCCAGCGCGCAAGGACGACATTGTTATTAGAGGTGATGATAGCTGTGGGAGGAGTGAGAGTGGATAAGAGGATTGGGTGATGTAGCACTAGGGGTAAACAAAGAATTGACAAGCAGTGCTGAGGGCTTGCCTGAGCGCTTAGCCAGGCTGCAAGGAGGCTAATCCTGCCAGACACACCTCCTCACCCCCTAACCATGCAGATTTATGCTGTACATAGCCAGAGGGACACAAAAAGGAAAAGATACAGTCTGGACACAGTGACTGAGAAAAGGTAGAGACTTGGACACTTGGGACACTAGTGGGTTGTGTATCTTTCTTCCCCGCATTCTAATCTCTTTGGGAAAGAGACCTAAAATTGTAATATTGATCACAGTCGGCCTCATTCATAGCAAAAACTGTGGTTGGGACCTGAGGCCCAGATGGGTCTCATGCTTCCCACTGTCTGGTAGACAACTGGTCCTCCATGAAGACTAACTTACATTACAGTCTCACCCAATCACAACAGGGAAGTGAGAGCTGAGAGCAGAAACCTACTGGGTTAGCTTAACCCTGCCTGCACACAGCAGGCTAGGAAGGGCCTGAGTTCAAGAAGGGAAGGATACTGTCCCTCAGCACCACCCACAGGCTGTCCTGGATCCTAGAAACCCTAGTTCCTCTTCAGAGGGAAGGAGCGGAAGCTTCCTCCTCAGGTGTTCTCCAAGAGGGCAGAATTGTTGGTCAGGTTTTCTCCTCTTGAGCCTAAATGGGGACTCACAGGGAAGAGGAAAAGGGTTTTACTGGCATGAATGAAGGAGCTAGGACAGAAAGCAGGACTTCAGTGGACATCAACAAAAGGCACTGTGCACAGTGTCAATAGCTCTGCTTGTTTCTTACGTATGGCGCCATCTTAGCTGGGATCAATAGATCGGCAAGCCAGACAAGATCTCTCTGAGCCTGGCTTCTCCAGCACTAATCCTTATTAGCTGCTGTTAATGTCATTACTGACATTCTTGCTACTAATGCGATTGTGGCTACTCTTCTGCAGAGCAGGGATACAGGACTTCATGCAGGCAGCCAAGCATGTGCTCACTATAATGAGTGATTTAAAAATTCTAGTTTAATAATGCTGCTGTTACTATCTTACCACTTGGTAGTATTTCTGTTTATTTCTTGGGCTGCGTTTATGGAGATACTATTTTGTCTGGGATACTATTTAAATGAACGAGATGTGCGCTTCTTGCTATGGGTTGTTTCTCTGTCCCTCTCTCTCTCCCCCTCCCTGCCCCTCCCCTACTCTCCCCCTCCCCCGTCCCCTCTTCCTTCTCCCCTCTCCCCTCTCCCTCTCTCTCCTTTCTCTCAAGCTCTCTAGCTGAAGGTTACCTGTGAAGAGAAAAAGCCTGGATTACTTGGGATGTCAGATACCTGCTGTCATTTGTAGGAAGCTGATTGTTAAGCCTTTGTGTGGTCTCAACTGCAAAGAGTCAGTTTTCCTTATTTCTTTCCTTTGCTGGAGAAAATGTGTCTTCTGATACAAGGTGGTGTTCCACTTACAGGAGGTCTGACTGAGTGACACATGGGCTTCCCGAGGTGATGGAGCATTCTATGGTCTTCAGAGGAGATGGAATCATCTATAGTCTTAAACATGTGAATTACATGATGACTTCATTTGTCAAAACTGTATATTTAATACTTGTGCTTTCTGATGTGTGTGTGCATGTGTGTGTGTGTGTGTGTGTGTGTGTGTGCGTGCACATTGTACCTTAAAACTGCATAATGAAGGAGCTG